CACACACACACACACAGACAAATCCATAATCCACAATCATTAGAGTTGGAGATTTTACCAACTTCCTATCCATAACTGACAGAATAGACAAAAGTGTATGTGTATGTGTATATATATTTTACAAAATTAAAACATATAATATACATACATTATATCTTAGATATATTCTATAGATCTAAAAACCTAAGGTACTTGTGAGTAACAGGGGCAGTTGGCAAGTTACTTTCAAATGGTCAAATGGCTCCAGACCAAAAAGAAGGTTATTTAAGTTGTATTTGCAGTTTTTCTATATGTTTTAAATTGTTCCACAATAAAAAAAATGTATGTTCATATAAACAGTGCTGTATTGATGGTGGTACAACATGTGTAGATGTTACACACCTACAACAGTACCAAGCGCTGTTGCCTATAGCAGGAGTTGCATGCACCACCGGAAGCTAAGAGAAAGGAACGGAACAGAGAAGCTGCTGACACCTTGACTTCCAGTCTCCACAACTGCAAGAAAGTAAATTTCTGCTGTTTTAAGCCACGGGGTTTTGGGGTACTTTGTTACAGCAGCCCTAGGAAACGAATACAAACTGCCCAGTAATAAAAGAAGAGGAACTACTGATACACCAGATGAATCTCAAAAACACTATGTTCAGCGAAAGAAGTGATAGAAGCAAAACCCCAGGGCACCTGAGTGGCTCAGTCGGTTGAGTGGCTCAGTCGGTTAAGCGGCTAACTTCGGCTCAGGTCATGATCTCACAGTTTGTGAGTTCGAGCCCCGCGTTGGGCTCTGTGCTGACAGCTCAGAGCCTGGAGCCTGCTTCGGATTCTGTGTCTCCCTCTCTCTCTGCCCCTCCCCTGCTCTCTCTCTGTCTCTCTCTCAAAAATAATAACAAACATTAAAAAAATATATTAAAAAAAAAGTGAAACCCCAAACTAATCTATGAAACAAGAACATCAGAATCATGGTTGCTTCTGGCCAGAGAACAGAAGTCATGGGAGTGACAAGATTGGGGAAAAGCATGAAGACATTTTCTGAGTTGACTGAAATGTTATCTTTCTTGATTAATGTGAGGCTACAAAGTTAGCATCAGTCAAACATCACTGAATTGTACACTTAAAGTTCGGTGTGCATAGCTCAAGGGGAAAAATCCGTAAATAAATACGAAAGTCTAGTTAATAAGTATGTTTTTTGTAGAAGTTTAGGTTAGCAAACCTGAAAATATTTTCTGTGTACTCTAGGTTTAAGGAAATGTTAGTAGAAACCAGGTGTCTCATTATTGGAGGAGTTATAAATACAGAAAAAGAAAAAAGAAGAAGGCAACAACAAATCTTGTGGTGGTGAATTGGAATGGAAGGTTATGAGTATGAACTCATGTTTTTTTAATACAGATAGCTAGCTAGTTTGAAAAAAGGGATGAAGAATAAAAGGTATTTTCCTTCATGTGTCTTGGATGTTGACAGCTCTTCTTGTTAGGACATGTCACTGTTTATAGAAGCCACCATGAGCCAGTCCAACAGATATAAATGAGTGGGAGCTTGTAGCTGATATGCCAAATTCTACTGATTTCATTTGTTAAACTACTACTAGAATGATTTCCATCTGCGAACACAACAAGACATATGAAGAAAGATAGTAAACACACGGGAAGACAGATCCAACACCTTACCATCCACAGGCTTGACCTCAGCTGGTATCTGCTCTTCCTGTGCTCTCATGCTACTCTCTTTAATGCTTTCTATTTCCCGCAAGAAGTCCTCCATGGAGGTGCTGTCTATGGAGGCTTGTGAGTTGGAACGGTTAAATGCAGGCGAATGTAGGGACTCATTGGAGAGCATTCTGTTAATTCTTCGGCAGCGAGGAATAGATTTTCTGAGGAAAGAACAATATCTGTTGTTAATAAAAATTAGTGTCTTTTAATGTTACAAATCATGAAATAAAATTTATGTTTAAAATCAATGGAGAAATAGAGTTAAGTGTGATAGAGAGGGCTTTGAGAGAATAATCTCCACTCAGTGGTGGCCCTTCTTTTTTATTCCCTATAATTCATAATGATTCTCTGGCCATGTAGGAATCACCGTGATAATACTTTTTATAATTTTCACACACTTACAAAGCATGCAGTTACTTGTATTGGCCAAAGCATAGAGTTTAGGGCAATATCTCTGATGAATACAGATGCAAAATCCTCAACAGATTATTAGCAAACTGAATTCAACAATCCATTAAAAAAATCATTCACCACCAAGTAGGATTTATTCCAGAGATTCAAGAGTGGCTCAATATCTGCAAATCAATCACAGGATATATCACATTAGCAAAATAAAGGATATAAACCATATGATCATCTCAATAGATGCAGAAAAAGCATTTGACAAAATTCAACATCCACTCATGATAAAACTTCTCAGAAAAATATAGAGGGAACATAATAATAAAGTCCAGATATGACAAACCCACAGCTAACATCATACTCAATGGTAAAAAGCTGAAAGTTTTCCCACTAAGATCAGGAGCAAACCAGAATGTCCACTCTCATACTTATATTCAATATAGTACTGGAAGTTCTAGCCACAGAAATCAGATAAGAAAAAGATATAAGATGCTTCTAAATTAGTAAGAAAGATGTAAAACTGTCAGTATTTGCAGATGACATGATACTATATATAGAAAACCCCCAAAATACCATGAAAAACTATTAGAATTAACACAAGAATTCAATAAAGCTGCAGGATACAAAATTTACATGCTGAAATCTGTTGTATTTCTATACACTAATAATGAACTAGCAGAAAGAGAAATTAAGTAAACAATCCTATTTACACATGCATCAAAAAGAATAAAAGACCTAGAAGTAAATTTCACCAAGAAGGTGAAAGACCCCTACTCTGAAAACTATATGACACTGATGAGAGAAGTTGAAGATGACCCAAATAAATAGAAACATACACCATGTTCATGGATTGGAAGAATCAATATTGTAAAAATGGCCACACTACCCAAGCAATCCAAAAATTCAACATAATCCCTGTCAAAATAACAATAGTATTTTTCACAAAACAAGAACAAATAATCCTAAATTTTTTATGGAATTTTAGAGATCTCAAAGAGACAAAGAAATCTTGAGAAAGAACAAGTTGGAGGTATCATGATTGCAGATTTCAAATTACATTACAAAGCTATAGTAATCAAAACAGTATGGTACTGGCACAACAAGACACGTAGATCAACGAAACAAAATAGAGAGCCCAGAAATAAGCCCACACTCACATGGTCAGTTAATCTATGACAAAAGAGGCAAGAATATACACAATGGGGAAAAGAGAGTCTCTTTAATAAATGGTGTTGGGAAAATTAGACAGGTACATGCAAAAGGATAAAAGTGAACCACCTGCTTACACCAGACATGAAAATAAACTCAAAATGGATTAAAGACTTAAATGTAAGACCTGAAACCATAAAACTCCTAAAGGAAAACATAGGCAGCAAACTCTTAGACATCAGTCTTAGTAGTATTCTTTTCAATGTGTCTCCTCAGGCAAGGGCAACAAAAGCAAAAATAAACAATTGTGACTCCATCTAACTAAAATCTTTTGGACAGTGAAGGAAACAATTAACAAAACAAAAAGGCAATCTACTGAATGGGAGAAGTTATTTGCAAATGATGTATGTGGTAAGGGGTGTATGGTACATACTAGAAGGCTGTTTGTGCAAGCACACCCTGGATGTCTGTGTTAATCACTATCTTGAGAATGCAGAGATCCTATCCTCCTTTTATATTCCCATCAAACAGAATAGGTAGAAGAACATGTTGTTCAGTATTCAAGGTTAGGAGATCCAATGGTGGCCAACCCAATATCTCCCTTGTAACAAAGAATGTCTGGATGCTAGGCCTCAATCTCCTTGGAACACTGGCTGTGCACAGAAGGGAAGGGCTACAGATAGTTGCTAGACTAGTTGCTACACTATAAAAACTTATTGCATGTGGATTCCAGAAGTGGATGCTTTGTCCAGTTGGCCACTTCTGGATTTCCTGTATGTAAGTTCCCCAAATAAACCTATGTCTTGATCTCTGTCTCTAAGTCACTCTTTTAGCCTTGCCAGACCATCATCTACCCTTGGCTTAGAGTCTGCTGGTGTGTGGCTACACAAAGGGTTAAAATCCAAAATATATAAAAACTCATAAAACTCAATACCAAAAAAAAGTCCAACTAAAAATGGACAGACGATGGGGCACCTGGGTGGCTCAGTCAGTTGACTGTCTGACTTTGGCTCAGGCCATGATCTCGCAGTTCGTGAGTTCCAGTCCCGTGTCAGGCTCTGTGCTGATGGCTCGGAGCCTGGAGCCTGTTTCAGATTCTGTGTCTCCCTCTCTCTACCCCTTCCCCGCTCATGCTCTGTCTCTCTCTGTCTCTCAAAAATGAATAAACGTTAAAAAAATTTTTTTAAATGGGCAGATGACCTAAATAGACACTTTTCCAAAGAAGACATACAAATAGCCAACAGACACATCAGAAGATGCTCAACATTGTTAATCATCAGGGAAATGCAAATCAAAACCAAAATGAGTGACACCATTTTGACATCTGACACCAGTCACAGTGGCTAGTTTCAAAAAGACAAGAAATAACAAGTTTTGACAAGGACGTGGAGAAAAAGGAATGCCTGTGTACTGTTGGTGAGAATGTACACTGGTGAAGCCGCTACAAAAAACAGTGTGAA